GATTAAATTAGGAATAAAGAGACCTTTAATAGTAGATTATACCACGAGTCAATAATGATAGCTATTATTCCCGAGGATTATTACGAACTGAGCCGCGTTAGCGGCGAGGGAGTAACATTCCGAGGGAATAATAGCCATTATTGCGAGTAGTATACTCTACTTTATTTACGACAAATTAATTTATTTGAGATTTTCAATGAACAAATTTCATCCGTCTCATAATTTTCAATACAAATCCACAAGCATTACACGTTTGACACTGACACTTATGTGGAATAATGACCATTAATCCCGCTACTCGTCATTAATCCCTGGAGGAATAACATATGTCATTATACTGCCAAAATCACAAATATAATACGCACATTATACATTAGTCGTAAATAAAACGATATATCACTCGACACCGCCTTCTATTTAAAAAAACGTTGCAAAACTGCGCCCGTCATTTGTTTTTCAAAAAATGGAGAATTTGCTCACATCATCATTCCAAATTTTGTGGAAATATACCGAGTGGTGCAAAAGTTAGAGGGGGAAAACGGACTTTATGTCCTCACTGTATGTCTCACGTCGTTCATGACAAGTTCTGCGCCCGGATTCTCAACACACGATTCGATAGTATCTCTATCTATATTCACATAGACGATACTATCGAACCTTGAATTCGGGATCCAGACCCAGATCAAGGATTTTAGAAAAGACGTCACTACATCCTGAGCAGCATGCTTATAGAGCGGGCAGATCAACAGAAACCGCTTTACTTGAACTAACTGACAGCATCCAAAGCACATTGCATAATAAAGAAGTAGCCATCTGCGCCTTCTTGGACATAGAGGGGGCATTTGATAACACCTCCCAAGAGTCAATAAAGAATGCGCTCGACAAAAAAAGGAGTAGACAAAACGATATCCACCTGGATGTACGAAACGCTAGCCACCAGAACTGCAGAAACTGACGTGGTTGAACAAACCATACAGGTCACCACCACTAGAGGATTTCCTCAGGGAGGGGTACTCTTACCTTTGATGTGGAGTCTAGTGGTTGATGACCTCCTAAATGTATTGCCCGATCAGGGCTTCACTTGCTTTGGATACGCCGATGATATTGTCTTCATGGCCAGAGGCAAATACGAAGGAATACTCTGCGACCTTATAGAAAAAGCACTTCGCACCATGAAGGAATGGTGTCAGACAGTGGGGCTGGATCTAAACTCAGCAAAAACCGCACTGGTAACATTTACAAAAAGAACGAAACTCCCAAATCTGAGAAACATTCGCTTCGATGGAAACAGACTTGACTAGAAAAAAGAAGTTAAATTCCTAGGCATAACCCTAGTGTCTAAACGTATCTGGAACCAACATGTAGAGGACACAAAAAACAAAGCAATTTTGGCACTCATGGTCTGCAAAAACATTGCGGTTAAAAGATGGGGTTGTAACCCATCAATCCTAAGATGGATGTATACTATGATAGTGAGACCTATCTTCACCAGCTAGTAAAAGCTAGGAAAACCCTAGGAAAAGTACAAAGACTCGTGTGTCTCTGTATAACGTGAGCAATGAGATCATGCCCAACCTCGGCATTAGAAGTCATTCTAGACCTCACACCACTCCACCTAATAGTGGTAGCGGGTTGCCAGTGAATCATGTCTCAGACTGGAGAAGATAGGTCTACAAAGGGAAACGCACCTTGGCAGAACTTTTCCGTTAAAAAATATCGTTGTATCGCGTAAGGTTGCAATTTACCAAGAAATTTTCCAACTTAAACACGCCCTTTATTTTCAATAATAAGAAAGTTACTGAGTGTTTTCAGTTATAAACAAACACCCAGTACAAAAAACAGATGGAACATGGAATCTATCTAATCCCTTAAAGTAAACACCATCAAATGGTACACAGACGGTTCCAAAACTGCTGAGGGAACTGGAGCCGGAGTATTTGGGCCACGGACCAGATACTCGGAGCCAATGGGGTAATCCACAGCCTCCTACAGTTAACAAGCCATGAAGTTGGAAATGACGGCAACGTCGCGTATGGTGCTATTTTGTTATCGTGGTTATGTGTTTCTGTGTATTGCGTTCATTGTGTATTGTTGCAGTTTAGTATTTTTGTGGGCATTATTAACGAAAAAGTGGATAGAAACACTCCCATATATTGCCCATATTTAGTTGATACCTGTTCCTTTGTGCTTTGATTGCAAATTTTTAGTAAATGGGTACAAGAGCAAAAATGAAGGTAAGGTAGGGTTAAACAATAAAAACAATATTAATATTAGTGTGCAAGAGCATAGGTCTCGATATATTACCTAAGATATTTAAACTTGTTCCAGATGCCATGAAACTACTGTGTTCCTGGGTGCAAATCGAACTATAGGAGTTCCTTGAAAACTGAAGAAATGCAAGCCTTTTCGTTTCCAAAAAAATTCTGAATTACAGAAGTTGTGGATGAAAGCGAATACACCAAGATAATTATACCCAAGATTATACCATAACGAAAAATTCTGTGGTGTGTTGTAAACATTTTGAAGAAACCGAAAAAAATAGATTTGAAAGAAACAAGGATGAAGGAGTAATTCGAGAGTTCAAACTAAATCGTCCAACTCTTAAAAGTACCTCTTATTTTCGAAAATCAGCTCAAGTATTTGAATAGACCTGCCTTCCGAAAAAATCCCGAAGAAAGAAAAAGTTAGAGCTGTCGAAAATTATCCAACTATGGAAGTTATATTTCTCTTACATAACACTATAGAATCTAGTAATATATTCATTTAAATCAATTATTTACTGTTCTTATTTACACAAATAGTTATATTATTCATTGAATTACTGTTTTGACCCTTTAGTACAATAAATGATGCATTTTTTGTCATTCATATTAACAAAATAAAAAATATATACTTATAAAAACAAACAGCACCAGCACCACTTGGCGGTAAGATTGCGGTGTTGCCTTTTTATCTTCATGGCTTGTTAACTGTAGGAGGCTGTGGGTAATCACCAAGCATATTTCAAGCGAAACTTTATGCGATCGGAAGATTCGTGCAGTTCAACCTGAACGAGGGATTGTGATAATGTCTGACAGCCAAGAAGCTATCAAAGCATTGAGATCCCCGGTCATCAATTCTAAGACAGTATGGGAATGTCTACAGAAACTAAATGAGCTAGGAAAACAAAATGAAGTAACCCTCCTCTGGGTGCCCAGACACATAGGTGTCGAGGGCAAAGATTCGCAACGAATGCGCAAACAGACTCGCAAGAACGGCAGTGTCTACTCTCTTCACTGGGCCAGAACACAGCCTCCTACATTTAACAAGCCATGAAGTTAAAAAGGTAACACCGCAATCTCACCGCCAAGTGGTGCTGGTGCTATTTGTTTTTATAAATATATATTTTTTATTTTATTAATATGAATCACAAAAAATGCATAATTTATTGTACTACAGGGCGAAAAACAGTAATTCAATGAATAATATAACTATTTGTGTAAATAAGAACAGTAAATAATTGATATAAATGAATATATTTCTAGATTCGAAAGTGTTATAGGCTCGGTTATAGGCCTATGTTTCAGTATGTCTTTTGAAAATCTAACTTTTTCTTTCTTCGGGATTTTTTCGGAAGGCAGGTCCATTCAAATACTTGAGCTGATTTTCGAAAATAAGAGGTACCTACTTTTAAGAGTTGGACGTTTTAGTTTGAACTCTCGAACTACTCCTTTATCCTTGTTTGTTTCAAATGTAATTATTTCGGTTTCTTCAAAATGTTTACAACACACCACAGAATTTTTCATTATTGTATAATCTCGGGTATAATTATCTTGGTGTATTGCTTTCATCCACATTTTTCGCAATTCAGATTTTTTTTGGAAATGAAAATGTTTGCATTCCTTCAGTTTTTAAGGAACTCCTATAGTTCGATTTGCACCCAGGAACACAGTAGTTTCATGGCATCTGGAACAAGTTTAAATATCTTAGGTTATATATCGAGACCTATGCTCTTGCTGACAAATATTGATATTGCTTTTATTGTCTTACCTTACCTTACCTTCATTTTTGCTCCTGTACCCATTTGCTAAAAATTTGCAATCAAAGCACAACTGGTATCAACTAAATATGGGCAATATATTGGTGTGTTTCTGTGTGTTTCTATCCACTTTTTCGTCAATAATGCCCACATAAATACTAAACTGCAACAATACACAATGAAAGCAATACACAGAAACACATAACCCAATAACAAAATAGCACCATACGCGACGTTGCCGTCATTTCCAACTTCATGGCTTGTTGAGTATAGGAGGCTGTGGCCAGAACCATTTTGCGGCGTCGGAAATGCGCACCTCAAACAAATCCTCAAAAAAAAAGACAACCGGCTAAGGAACGAACAATGGCTAGAACAGCCCAGGACTACGATAGGCCAGAGATCTAATGGGCAACTTCAACCAAAAAAGATCAGAACTGCTAGTCAACCTTAGCAAGAAAAGTCTCAAGACTCTAACCGGGTTTCTCTCGTCACATTGCAGACTTAAGAAACACCTACAGAAGTTGGGGTTAGAAGAAGGTGGCACCTGCAGATTCTGTGAAGACGGAGAAGAGACACCTCACCATCTTCTTCTCAACTGCGATGCCGTAAGTCGCTCAAGGATGAAAAACTTGGGAAGTTCCCTTATACAGTTGGAAGACATTACAGCCCTAGAACCGCTAGATATCCTAAAATTCCTGAAGGACGTACCTACTGACTGGAAGGGCTGCTTTGACCAGGAAACTCGAACTTAGCAGCAGAAGAAAGGGTAGATCAACATTGGTCGCGGTGAAACTGGCACCTCCAACCTACACATACACAATAGATGTCCACAAGAAGCAATAAAAAAACGATGAAAAAATAGACTCGTGGAAGGGGCTGGAGAAGTGATGTAGAAGAAATGTAGAATGAGAAATAACAAATGGTTGGAGATTGGAAATTAGAAAATATAGAACATTGTGTGAACATAAATATGTATACTTACACTCATGTTTGAGAACTGTTTTTGTAGAATAGGATGGAGTTCGCTGAGAGTTTTCAGGGCATCATCGTCGGTCATTTCCAATTTTTTCGCGATATTGCTGGTGCTCAATGAAATTTCTTTTTGGCTTTTCTTGTTTTTCGATTTCTTATTCCAGACACGTTGTAGGAAACTTTCCGACTTCTTCACTTTCACTTTTTTGTCTTCGGATTTTTTGTGCTTTCTGCCGAATCCGAATTTCTTCTTATCTTTTTCTAGAGGAAGAAACATGTAGGAAAAGTTATATATTTAACAAAATAAGAGTCTTACCTGCACTGTTAGATTCTTGACTAGAAATTGAACTATTTCTCTTAGCATCATCGCCACCAATTTCCACATAATCCACTTGACCTTCAATACTAGCATATACCACAGAACTTCTGGAATCTCGATTTTCTTTCACAATTGCTTCTGCTTCAGCATAAACATTCTCTTCTTCGTTAGACGTTTTCGATTTTTTTCTCAATTGCATCTGGATATTATCGTTATAGTCAATGGCTTCATAGTAATCTGTATTGCCTTCCAGTTGATCACTACATTTTGTCCAGTAAACTTCGTTTTCGGTTGTTTGACTGGATCTACGGTCACGTTCTAGAATTTCTCTGGAAAATGGTACAATGATGTTAAGAGTTTCTTGTGTCCACAATAATAAATCAGATAAATAATTGTAATTTGGGTCCATGGTATAACTAATTATTTCACTCGCAACACTCTGTTGCATCAAAATGTTCAAATTAGAATATGATGGAGTTTAAGAACATAATTCTATCAAAGAACAGAATAACTGCTTATATTCGAAACTCCAAACTATCAAGGGTGTTGAATTTAAGTCTTCCATATTAATAATATTGGCCCATACCATTGAAATTTGAACTAAAAATTCAGTGTTTGTAACATTGTACATATTATTATCCTAATGATATATGTCTTTTGCAGCCACCTATTTTAAAATCAACATTGAATTATATAAAGAAAAATGAAACTGATTAGAGGCCTTTTTGAATCATACCTTTTAGTAAACACTGAATCACTGGAAGGTATCCTCTCGTAAATCCCTTCAGAGCTATCATCAACACTGTTATTCACACTGTTTGACTTTAGCTCCCCCAACTTTCCATATTCCTCATTCTCAATGATGACAGATTCGCATTTTCTAAATCGTGTTTCCTTACTATTTTTAAAACCATTATTTGTCGGTATTGATTCGTCGGATAAAGATATTTGCTTTTGACTTTCTAGCGGATTGGCTTTCGGTTTTGAATTCCCGTAATTTTTTGCTCCCATTTTTTGCAATCTTTCGATAAAAGTCGCATTGTTTTCGTCGTTCGGATCTGAGTTGACTATTGAAGATAACTCTCCAACAGAATAACGGAAATGGTCCAGTTTTTTGAAACCTTTGCTCTGATTCAGGGCGGACATAAGAGCTTCCATCCATCTGTGTTGATCTTCTTTGTTGTCTGCCTTCTAAAATTAAATACATAGTTACATATAACGTTGGGTAGAGTGAAATTAAAAGAAGCAAGACGGTCCAGATTTAGGATGGTATAGATGGTATAGAGCTGACTATAAATTAGACTGACTATAAAAAATATCTTTTTAACATGAAACCGAAAATCCTAAATTTCCAGGAAAACGCCAAGTTTGAAATAAATGTGTATGGAAAATGGAGATGAAAGTCAGCCTTTTCATATGTATTTAGTTATGGCGCTGGGAAGGCTCCGTTGTGAATCTCACAATTCTCACATCGCTTTGAGAAGGTGCAAGGATACCAAAATGCGTCTGTGGTTGAATTCTCAATGAAATTGGGAACCAGTTTGTCATGACTTGACTCTCAAATTCAATGTTACCGGAATATAAACCAACTAAGGGGATTTCTAGGAGAATGTTCAGAATATTTGGTTACGCCCGTTACGCCACCGCATGGCACCATACTCTACTTAATATTTCACTTTCCAGGGATTAAACCTACCAAAGTTATTGTTGTAGTTTTGCTTTCAATTTGGAACACTCCAGTGTTGGAAGCGCAAGTTTTTATATTGCAAGTTGGTCCTAAATTGATAGTTCCTTTACAAGGTGATATTGCATCATATTCGTCTTTGGATTTGTAATAGAGCAGTAATCGGCCTTCCAAGACGAACCAGTACTTTTTGTAGCAACTCATCATTTTCTAAAATAGAATTGGAAAAATTACCTTATTTGAATATAGTTATTTTCCTAACAAGTGCGCAAAGTGTTACTTTTCCGCACGCAAACACAGTTATACGAACGACGCGAAGCGGAGTTCGGATACGTGTTTGCGTGCGGAAAAGACACTTTGCGCACGTGTTAGGAACAACATTTTTCCTACGAGCTTCATATCAGGTAGGTAATAACAAAAATTAAAAAAAAAAAAAACGATAATTTGTTTAATTATTTTTAATTAACTTGAAAGGAACCTATGCATTTATCAAAAAATTACATAACAGAAACAAATAACAGAAAATCCTCGTCAGAGCTGTTCATCTTAAAGCGTTTAAATTTGATGAGAAAGTTTATAGATTTTTGCATATAAATAGAGAACAAATCTGATGGGTCAAAGTTAATTTATAATTGGTGTTTGTATAGATGTTGGCTGATATAGAAATAGAGGAAAAATTTGTCATCATGTGTCAAAGTCGACAGGTGCACTTATTGTTGCTTGACAATTATAATTACTTTTCGGCACTCAGTGCGGATAAGGCCTGTATCCGCACTGAGTGCGGAAAAGTGTAACTTTGAGCCCGGAAATGCGTGCGGAAAAGTACTACTTTGCGCACGCTCGTAGGAAAAATATATTTTGTAAAATCCATCGTTACCTTTTTGCCTTTCTTTTCGAGATAGCCGGACATTTTTGGCATAATTTGATAGTATTCATCCATTGTTATGAGCAGCGATCAATAATCTGTGAAAAAAAGAAATGGTTAAAAATGTAAAGTTAGGTTTTAGGACTAAGTTGTTGATTATCTTATTATGAACAAAGTGTCATGGTATCCCGCCGAGTATTTCAAGTGTCTTTTCAATAGTTCTACAGATTTTCAAAGGGTTCTAAAAATGTAGACTTAACTCGCCTAATGTTTTATTCTTTCTCTTCTGTTATAACTTTGACTTACATTTTGTTGTTATAATTTCAAATTCCAATTTCCTTAAGTTTACATATCGTCATGTAAAAAATACAAACCATCTATAAAACAAAACTCCTATTTTACTGTTCAAATTTCATTTATTATTCCGACACCATCACATAAGTAATTGCCTATTTTTTAAAAAGTGCCACACTTTTACTTGACCGTCTGATGCGTGTCGTCAATTAAAAATTCAAACCTGACGAGAAAAAGTTATTCAAATGATAATTTCTCTTGTAGTAATAAACACGGTGTATTGCACGGTGCATGGTCAATAAAAGGCCCATTATAAATAAATTCTGGTCAGATACCTAATTGGGAGTAATTATTATTGTTACTCTTACCGAGCAACGAAATGAATAATGGTCTATACGTGATTACATGCTTTTGGTTTGATTAACGTAGATTTGTTTTGGATGTTTGATTCGATATAGTCCAAAATATTTTTTAGCTGCGAACAGAAATGTTCACAGGGTGCTTCGAGCAAGAGATCAGGTAATCAATAGTTTGATAAATAACAACTTTCTAAGGCTTAGAGGTGGTAATTTGTCCATTGTCGTATTAGTACATTCATCTGAGAAAAAAATGTAGGTACCTGCCCACTGGAGGATGGTTGAGGCAGAAATGAATTGGATGGAATGAATCATTAGGATATTTTATACTGAAAATCTATTATATCAATAATTACATTTGACAACTTATTATTGAAATATAATACCAATATTAATACACTAAAGTTTCCTATAAGTACCTATATACTTTATTTCTTACAGTACCAAATTTTTCTCTTCTCCTCAATTTGTGCCCGAGTAAACAGTCCCAAACTCTCGAGAATAATAACAGCATTAACTTGAATCTATCTAGTGTATGTACAACATGGCTTCTCGAGATTCTGTTGCTTTGTAGGTATTAAAATCCCATCGGTGTTTTGACTGGAATTTATCCCTCCATTTCAAATCGCTTTAGTAGTTACCTACGTTTTTGGACATTGCTTCTGACTCAAAAGACATCACTCCAATAATAATTTCTTCAAAAATGAGTCTATTCTTTTTTTCCAACGTATTGGAGCTTGTTTCAGTTCCTACAGCGAATTTTGTAGTTCGAAAATTCTGTTTCATCCTTGTTCAAATTCATCAGGTCGGTAGTTTGATGTAGGTACACTTCTTCGTTGAAATAACCATATCAAACGCATTCTCGATATCTATCTGCATCTGATAGAAAGTCAAATCATTTAAAATGTAAAAACGAGCAACTGGTGCATACTTTCAATAAACTCCTCCCTGTAGAAATGCTTTGGACACATTGTAGCTTTGTATCGATTCATATTCTTAGCTTCATCACACTACGACTTGAGAATCCATTTTGAATTAATGGCTTTCTTGTTTGAAGACAATTCTGCTTTGAACCAGGTTTGGTTTATTCTGAGTGAATTAATTTCTTCCTAAACAGCTTCCATTTATCATCGTTTCCGTTTATTTCAGAAACTTCCTGTGGAATATTGTCAAGCACTACCGATTAGTTTTTTTTTCTTCTATATCTTCAACTTCTTCACATTTTACCTAAACATAGTTCTTCTGTATATATTCTCTATCCTCAACATTTGCCTCCATTTCTCTAATAATTCTCTATTGATTCGTGTTTTTGATGATTCCTTTTCCCATTTTTCTCGTCGTCAAATTCATCTTCAAAACTATCTCGTCTTCCCTGTCCTGAATTTGTGAAGAATTGTGATTTCCAATGGCCAATTTCGAACAAATTTTTATCAAATCTGACATCATGAACTCTATGAATTTTCTTCCTTTTAGGACACCATATTCTGTATCCGTTAAAATAGTAACCCTCATCCACCTGGACTGAACTTTGTTTAGCTCTCTTGGTGTCCCCAAAAATTTTCAGATTTTCTTGTCTAGGCTTCTCTCTTCAAACCCTAATTCTGATGATACAACTGTATCTTTCAGGGCTTTGGTTGGAATTCTGTTCACCGAATAAACCGCCTGATGCGATGTGATTTTAATGAGAGTCCTGTTCAGTGTTCATCCTTCAGCAACACCGTTGTGTTGTGTGTGTAGCGATTTGAATATTATCAAAGAATACCATTTTCCTTGGAACATTATCGAATTTCGATATGTAGGTATTCTCCTCGGTTATCACTTCAAAAGACTTTTCGATAGTTGAATTTTGCAGTGGTCATAGTCAAAGCACCAGTCTTTCACATTTGAGAAAACTTCAGCTTTGATGCTAAAGCATAGCTACCATTTTAGATCATAGTTGGGTTTAACGGACAGGCATGGGGTTTTATTGATGTGGCTGAAGTTAGCTTCATATTCATATTCAGATTCAAGTATATTACAGTCGACCAGATAATTATTGAAAAGAAAAATTAAAAAACCGCGAAATCCAATAAAATGAAATTATTATACGTATTATTATGTAGAGAATTTCTGGAATTCGGAAAAAATAGATATAACCGATTCGAGGATGTTTTCTCCAATTAAGTTAGGTCTAGGAGTCGAGAAGTTCACTAAGGGGGGAAGTCGATAATTTCTTTGAAAATTCGTGGAAAATTATTGATGCTTTGTAGAGATTTTTTAAAAATTGAGGAAGATACACTTGAGCCTCAAGCACATTCGAGAATATTTTCTCCAGTCAAGTTAGGTCTTGGAGAGTCACTACGGGTGGAAATCGATAATTTTTTTGAAAAATCGTTCAGGTAATATTCAGGTGAAAATACAGAGGCGTCTGGCAATTTTGGACCAATAGGAAGCGAATTACAGCGATTATACAACTCACTGTACATTATTCCCATATGACACGAGAGGCTTAAGAAGTGATAAGCCTTTTGGGATTATCACGCATGGTGGCATTTATGGCAAATTCTATTATAGAATTTTTTTTAAATTTTAAAGTATTAATGTTTAGTTCGTTGTATAACCTTTTGAATACCACTCGATGTTTCAGGATTACCAAATAATTTTACCTGCCGTTAGACTCAACGCGTTACGTGACAGGTAAAAGTATTATCCGTTAATCCTGAAACCTCTTGTGGTATTACATTCGATAATTTTGCACAAGTGCAAATTATCGATAATTTGCACAAGTGCTAATTACCGATAATTTTTTTCAGGTATTTTTTACCTGACTCAAGGAGTTATTATCAGCTTTGTACACAGTAAATTAGACACAAATTATCAGCTTTCTATACAGTATACAGTAAATTAGAATATTTCCAAATCGACATTTGAGATCTTTTCGTATTGATCGGCGTAAGGTCTTCGATACTTTTATCATTATTACAAATTCGAAATTATTTTTTCAATGAAACTTTTGACGAAGGACCCCGCACTTGGACCATTGAAAATAGGTTTCGGTCAAAATGTCTAAATTTTTATATGTTGTAGTTCTATGTATGTAGATCGAATTTTGGCAAAAAAATTGGGGGGGTCCTCGAGTCGTTTCGGAGCTACGGTCATCCATAGGCGTGCGAATGAGAGTCCGATTGCAGGCGTCGCCTTGAAAATTTTACTTTGAAACACAAAAAACAAACCATTCTAAGGCATAATTATTAGACATAATTATTTAGAATATACTTACATGTAGCCGTTAGACTGAAAATGTTACAAATGTACAGGGTGGACACTTTTATTTGTACCTATATTTGAATATATCTTATGACAGATGCATAACGCTCATCTTTTATTAGATATTTGTAGTGGTTTCGTTTGTATAAACTTTATTCAAATACTATATAAATCAATTCATTTTTTTTTTTAAATACATGGCCATTCAAAAGTTATTGCTGATTAATTTCAAGTTAAGATAAAACAAACAACAGTTTGCAATGACAAAACCTCCTGACTTACTTTTTTGCTTCTCATATGTAATTTCACACTGTGTAGGGAACGAAACTTTTGACATTACATTGTATACTCAAGTAGCTCGCCTCAACATGAATAAAACCAACATTTTATAGAACATTATTTATAATGAACATAATGGTTAAAAAATATTATTCGAAATAGATTTTCAATTTTAAACGATTATTGTGAAAAATCAAAAAGGAAAAACAAAAGCCAACTAAGTGCAAATCTAAAAAGCTAAATTACGTAATAGAATTACCTAAATATGTTTGATTGATTATTCTGTAATAACAAATAAAATTAAGAACTCATCGTAAAATATCTAGGTTTTAAGATCTATAATTTTGATAATGCTCAATACTCAAAACTGGGTTGGAACATACGGTTTCATGAAATCAAATATCAAACATAGTTTTACCACTAGTCAAAAATACATTACTTTTCTCGACAAGTGTTTTGTTAACAATGTTCACATCTTCAAAAAAAAAGAAACTATAATAGCTATTTAGGATTAGTTTGTAAGAGCCCGCGATACATTCATATTTATAGACCCTGAGATAGGGACTGTTTAGTGGGGTAATTTTTTTTTCAGGCATTTTGAGGGCTGAATGTGGCTAGTCAGCTGATGAGAATATGGGTGGTTTTAATGCCTGCTTTCCGTTCGATAATTTGCAGAAGAAAAAAATTAATTTACATAAAGCATTTTTTTTTAAATGATCTTAAATTCTCTGGCTTTTGAATGAAAGATTGACATTGATAAATAATTAACCCATAAAAAATACCAAATGCTTTTCAATGGCTGAAAAAGTGGGAATGGGTGTCAACTTGCAAGAGAAAAGTATAGAATCTTCCGCATTTACTTTCTGTCTGGCAATCGAGAGAATAAAAGGTTTTGTTGTGAAAATAACGCTGAAAAATCGCCA